GACCCATTCACCAATGAGAGACTTCTGCCAGAATGGATTCAAGCAATGTACTCAAACCACCAGGCTTCACCAGCACCAGCAGCCCAAAAAGGAGTTAATCCCTTACAAGCTCAGAGGCAAGCAAGCGGAGACAAAGAGGCCAGATTGGTTCAGTGTCCCCTGAATGAAGTTTCAGAGGCACGAGATGCAATGCCACTCAGGCGGAGTTAAAGTCTACCCAGGCTAACTTCAAAGGAACAAAAGATAATTCAGAAACCCCTCAGGCAGAGCAGCCTCTCCTTTCCAAACTGGTTTTGCCAGATGAAAAGCAAGCTGCATTGCCTGAGGAGGCACAAGCCATTCCTTCGGACATTGACTGCTCAGAGGGGGAAGAGACTGTTATTCAGACGATAGGTACAGATGAATTCAAAAAACACCAAGAACTTGACCCTTCTTTGACAGCCCTAAGATCACAGCAAGTGTTGAGTCAGAACAAAACCGTAAGTTTTTTCTGGGGCCAAAATGGGCTTCTGTATTGTCAATTTGCCCAAGATTCTAGGATGGATGTAGAATTGTCCAAGCAACTAATTGTCCCTAGAGAATATCGACAGCGGGTGATAGAATTGGCCTGTGGTACCCGTTTTTCTGGACATCAGGGATGCAAAAAGACTTTACAGAGAGTTACTCAGCATCTTTACTGGCCAGACGTAGCAAAGAATGTAAGGGATTTCGTTTCTTCCTAGGATGTATGCCAAAGAGTGGGGCACCACACTGATAAAACTAAAGCGAAAGTTCAAGCAGCTCCTGTTATAGGTGAAGTTTTTGACTGTCTTCAAATGGACATTTTGGGACCTTTCTTGCCTTCTAAATCACAGAAATGTTTTATTATCACATTTGTCTGTCAAACTAGCCAATGGGTAGAAGCTTACCCTATTGCTACTATTTCTGCTAATTCCATTGCCAAAGTGTTTCTGGAGATTTGTGCAAGGATTAGAATTCCATCTGTATTGATTTGTGACAGAGCTTGTGCTTTTAGAAGCGAGCTGATGAGAAAAGTCTGTGAAATTAGCAAAATAAGAATAAATTTCAGTGCCTCATATCATTCAGAATCCCATGGATTGGTGGAGCACACTCAACAGACTCTGCTCAAAATGATTAAAACTTTTGTTCAGGACTTTGGGAGAGGTTGGAACAAAGTTCTCCCTCTGGTCCTCTTAGCTTACCAAAATGCACCTCATGAGGCCTTAGGCGGACTTAGCCCAAGTGAGGTGGTGTATGAAAAAAAATTGTATGGACCTTTGGATTTGTTGAGAGCTGACTGGGAAGGTACCATCTAGTCCAGTTCATTGTCTGTTACTGATTTTATGTATAATTTACAAGTGAAGCTGAGAGCTATTCAGGAAATGGCTAAAGAAAATATCCAGCAGGCCCAGGCTAAGCAAAATTATTTTCATGATCGTAAATCAAGGCACAGAGAGTTTGAAGTGAGAGATTCTGTTCTCCTCTTGAACCCACTCAGACCAAATAAACTAGAGGTTTCCTGGGAGGGCCCAGGAAAGGTTTTACAATGTATTGGGACTTTGGAACTATTTTGCTCAAATACCTGGTTCTGGAAGAAAGCCTATTATTTATCTTGTCAACAGCCTGAAACCCTATCGAGACAGAGCAGCTGTAATTCTGAAGTGTCAAGCTGCTTGTATTAGGCCAGAGCAGGAACCTATGGACATTTTGTCTGATTTGGAAAATGCTAGAAATTGGCTGGACAAATTTGTTCTTTCAGGTACTCCTGAGGAGCAGGAGTGACTTTCTCAAATTCTGGAACAATACCAAAGTGTTTTTTTCTGACAAACCTCGTTATACTAAATTTGGTTACTCATGCTATTGATACTGGTGAGAGCTGGTTCCTACAGGGTTATGGGGCATCATGCTGTGCAGATTCAAAAGGAGATTCAAAAGATGTTGGAATTAGATGTGATAGAACCAGCAATGCTGCATGGGCCAGCCCTATTGTTATTGGGCCAAAGAAAAATGCTTTGGGACAAGTTTTGGATGGGGTCAGATTTTGTGTGGACTACAGGAAGCGGAACAGCTTAACAGTTCCTGATCTCTACCCTTTACCTAGGATGGATGACCTCATAGAATGCTTAGCTAGCTCCTGGTTCATAAGCGTATTGGATCTGAGTGCTTGTTATTGACAAGTTTCTCTTGAAGAAAAATTGAGAGACAAATCCAATTTCATAAGCCACGTGGGAATTTGTCGTTTCAAAAGATTGCCTTATGGAATGAAAAACGCAGGAGCAACTTTCCAGAGGATGATGGACAAACTGTTACATGACTTACCCTTTGCTTCTGCATATTTGGATGACCTAGCTATTTTTAGCCCTAATTTTGCTACACATGTCTCACATTGAAACTGTGTTGTGTAAATTGCAGAATGCTGGTCTGACAGTCAAAGCCAGCAAGTGTCAGTGGATACAAGGAAAAGTTTTGTATTTGGGTCATTTGACTGGACAGGGGGAAATTCAACCCTTGGAGGCCAAGATAGAAGCCATTCAGAACTGGCCTAACCCTGCTTCAAAGAAACAGGTTCAATATTTTGGGGCTTAATTGGTTACTATAGGACATTCATTACTAATTTCAGCGATTTGGCTTCACCTTTGACAGAGCTTACTAAAAAATGAATGCCTGTCAAGATAAAATGGACACCAGACTGTCAGGGGGCATTTGATGCTTTAAAACAGGCTTGTCCAACCTGCGGCCCGTGGGCCACGTGCGGCCCAGGGTGGGTCATAATGCGGCCCAGTGCAATTTTTTATTTTAAAAGAAATTCCAAAGTTTCAAGTTACACTGCCGGCACTTGTGGTCAGAATGCAGCCGGGGCANTGCGGCCGGAATGTGGCCGGGGCATGTCACAACAGTAGAGGGGGAGACGGAAGGAAGGACTGGGGGGCACGGGACAGGGTGTGTGTGTGAATGCATTGTGCTGTCCCTGTCAATAGGTGGACCCCCTCCCATCCCCATAAAGCCACCAGAGTCGAAGCTGGCAGCCTCTGTTGTCTGAGATCGCAGCTGCCAGTAAGCGCGCTTGGAGGCCCCCCATGTGGCCCAAACCAAATTTATGTGTGGCCCTAACCAAATCTTCATCTTCTAATGTGGCCCAGGGAAGGTGAAAGGTTGGACACCCCTGCTTTAAAAGCTATAATTGTTTCTGCTCCTATTCTGAAATCATCTGATTTTGACAAGCCTTTTGTCTTGCAGACTGATGCTTCTGATTGGGGATTAGGAGCTGTGTTGTTGCAAAAAGGGGGTGATGGGATTTGTCATCCAATTTCATTTTTTAGTAAGAAGTTACTAGCCCATGAAAGAAATTACTCTGTTCCTGAAAAGCAAACCTATTCAATTCTTTGGTCACTTCAGCATTTATGCCCATATCTTTGGCGGTGCAGGTTTACCCTGCAAACTGACCATTGTGTGTTAATTTGGTTGCAAAAGATGAAATCTCATAACCAAAAATTGTGTTGGAGTTTAACTTTACAGGATTTTGATTTTGAGGTTCAGCACATTCCTGGGAAGCTGAACGTTGTCACAGACAGCCTGTCCAGGATGCATTGTGGAATTTCAGATGTGGCAGATGGTTGAATAAGTTATTTTTGATTCACTGGTTCTTGAGCATAACCAGAGTGTTATTCTGTTTTATTTACTAACATGACTGTTTTCTATTTTTCAGGTTCCTAGAATTGCTTAACCCAGAGTTCTATATTCAAATGCTGCTGTTAGAACGTTTTCTACCTCGATGCTTTGCTAGTTAGAATGCATAATTAAATTTTTTGCATTTATTTTATTATGTAATTTTAACACAGAGTTAGTAGTTACTAGGCCAAAATATGTAACCCAGCTTGTAGTCAAACATGTAGGCTTAAAAATAACCCTATATTTTTGAAATTCAAAGGGTGTCATGTCATGATGATGGGATATATAGTCAGAGAAATGTAAAATGGAGTCAGACAGGTTCTGTGTGGAGATGATTTGAGAGACATTGGAATATGTTTTTCTAAGCATCATGAGAGTGTTTTCCTGAAGACCGTTACAGCCTGGATCAAGATTGTGTGAAGGCCGAATTGTGAGGCCCATGGAAGACTCAACATTCCAAGCTAGTTGGAGAAGAGATGAACAACACCTGGACTCTCATGGGAACAAGGGAAGGAGAGAGGTGGTACAATTGGTTAACAGCTGGATTTGCCATGAAGAAGGGAGGAGTTAGAGAATGTAGAAAATGGACAATGGGTTATGTGAATTGTGATTCAATGTGATTCAATAAAATGGAATATGATTCTGATGGTTCATGTGTTGATCTGGATTCAATTCCATGAAGAAGAGAGGATATAAGTAAGGAGAAAGAGGGTGGTGGGGCTAGTCCACTATAGCCCACCTTAGTTTAGCTTTTTAGTTTTTATTATTTTGAATGGGAAATAGTTATTTCATTTAACTGCAATGATCTTTGAATATGTTCTTGATGCTAATGCTTGTGCAATATAAACTGATTCTATGAAACTCTATTTTTCTAATAAAAATTAACTATAAAAATTCTACAAAAGGACTGGTATCTTGAACAGCTGGGTCCGGTTAAATCCAGGAGGTGGAGAGGGCCACAAACTAGCTACCATTTAAGAGTCCTACCTAACTGAGCTTTAGTGAGTTCTAAGGAATCACAAAGCCCATGTGCCTGTACTTGCAAAGTACTAAGTAAGAATAAAGTGTTCTTTTAAGGTCAGACTTGTTTAAAGGGCTTATGCTACACGCTGCTGAGGTCTTGGGACTTGCCTCAGCACAAAGGTGGTAGGTAAATGGCCTGTCAAGCTCTCTGACAGAATGCCAGCAGCCCTTTAGGGAGTCCAGTGCATCACATCTATTATCAGATGTTTCACTTCAAAATTATTCTTTCAATACAACGCTACCTCTAGAATGACTGATAATTAAAGAAGAGCAATACCCTTAGATTGGAGGGCAAATTGCATACTCACCATGACCGAGATGTGAAGAATTCTTAGCTCTTCTTCTGCTGATTCACTCTGGGGTTCCTCTGTGGGTTCCAAGCCAGGCAGGCTGGGAGTGCCATCTTGATGATGGATATGAAAGAGCAGTGTGCCATTTTCTAGCCATTGCTGCCTCCAACGCACTAACGGGATATCTTCTGTGTTGCCTGAAATCTCTGTGGACAAGGAAAGAAGATCAATGCAACCCACAAAACAAATGAACAGCCTCCTAGCCCCCCCCAACATCTTTCCCGAATAATACCCTGTTTCCCCAAAAATAAGAGGTTTCTATTTAGGTAGCCAGAACTGATAGGTTCAGGGTCTGTGCGTTACCTTAAAGGGTTCAGTGGGAACCAAGCTGTTGTATGTGTGTGATTGGGGTTATGCCACGTTACATTATCCTATTTACCTGATTCTTTTATGTACCCTGTTTGTTGTTTCAATAAACCTTGTTCTTTTGTTTAGTAAAATCCATTCCTGGTCTGTGTGACTCCTTATAGGGAATGGTTGGTGGCAGCATAAATACATGGTGGCATGCTCCAGTAGGTCTGGGGTTGCCACATTGATTGGTGTCCAGCGTGTGGGATATGACTGGTCCAGTTGTCC